AATAAAAGATTATGATCCTAGAATTCATCATAATTATAAATATATTTTAATAATTTTTATGTGCATTTATCATATAAAATGCGCTACTTCACTACTTTCTAAATTAGCAGCGAACCACCACTATCGCTATTTTTTTTAAATAGCGCGCTAAAATCGTTGAAAAAAAGTAATGCGCATTAGTAACAACAACACTATGTTTTACGAATCTTGGGGGTTATATTAAATTTTGATATAAGATTTTCAGCCTTAATCTTTATCAATTCTAATGAATTTTCACCTCTTTTATTTTTTAAAATATAAATTGTGTAGTTTCACAATTTTTAGCATCCACTATATTGGTATCTATTAACTGATGATACTTATTTAATAGATCAATTATTAATAAAATTTGATAAATTACAATGCCCAATATAATATAATTTATATTTATGCATCAAGACAAAAGAAATGGCTTCGACTGACTCATGAATATAAACTTCTGAGATAAGATTTATATTAGAAAAGTAAAATAATACTTCACCAATAACCTCAAAATTCTCAAATGATAAGAAAGTTTATAAATGGCCAGTCCATCTCTGGTCAAAGCCTCTATAGAGTTTCTGGCCTGTATATTAACAAGATACGTTAAAACGCACTTTTTTATTAAATGTTCTTTGGAGTTAAGTTTGTATTTCTCACCGCTGGATTATTATATAATGAATTAATCTTTAAATCATTGCTGTCTTAAAAAGCAATTTGTAAAGCGAGAAAGACTTTCTAAATCAATTATTCCTATTAAGTTATTTACATTCCCTTGGATTTTTCCACAAAAAATATACCAAATAATTAAACCCAAATTTTTACAACCCGCTGTAACTTTTGTCCATCAGCTTTAAGACAAAAAAACGATATCTCAATTTTGTTTTAATTTGTTGAGATAGATTGCAACACCATTCTGCTATAATAGATTGAGTTGTTTTGGGAGGACATTTTTGGTATTGATTATATAACCTTTTTCAATTTTTCATTTTATTTGGCAGGTGTATGAGAAAACATTGCAATAAAATGTCCTGAACAATAAATTATATTTTTATCTGCAGCATTAGTTATTTTAGGGGAACCAGCCCCACGAAATGAGAGCTCTTGTATGCTGAGATTATTAATTCATATATTGATTTCAAATAATATCGATTATTCTTAACTTGATGGTTCACCAAAATTATCGATATTCTTGTACTTCTTTATAATAAGATTTTCATCAAGCCATATTAAATTTAAATTATTGTTTTTTTTATTTAGATCTAATAATGGCAAATGAAATTTAATAAGTAATATTTTTTTTAATTTGGGAGCCAGAAATATCTTTGGAGGCCCTTTCTGATAATCGATTGGAGGCCATTTCTGGGAACCAAAAAAAAATTCTGAGACCAGGTCTAGGAGGCGAAAAAAATATGGAGGGCGGTTCAGGCCCACCTTCTGCTCTCACGTGGCTACAATGTATAAATAATATATATAATTAGGACTTTGCGCTTGTCCCTTCTAGGAGGCAATCCTTGGTCTGGGGGAAAGACCCGTTACCTTTACAGACGCCACTATTACTGATTTTTTTAAAATATAATTTGACACCAATTTTCAATTCTATGCATGTTTTAATAATTCCATTGGGAGTAAGAGTGGACCAAATAGATTGTTCTAAGAATCAAAGATTTTTTTTTGTTTATTGATAATATGTTATTTTTATCTGTAGATATTACGATACCTATATAAAGCTTTGTTTCGCGCACTCCAACATCGAATCGCATAATGCTTTGAAAGAGAATAGAGGAGAATTAGAAGTTTTAAATTCTTTAAAGATGTTTAGGCGTCAATATAGAGATATTAAATTGGTATAGTTAGGATTGTAATGCATGAGGTTTTGCATAATTTTCAGTTTTACAAGGTATGACTGATATCAATCCCTCATAATCAAAATAGCCATTGATCCTTCATAACTTCAAATCCCATATCTATCCACACTCAGGGGTCGACCGGTCGCAATATTAAGTGGGCATTTTGCTAACGAAACCGCTAGAAAATGTCGACTTTTGAGATCGATCAGTAAAAAAATTGGAAAGAGGCTGATCAGAAAAAAAGATATAAAATATTTATTATTTCTTTTTATCATATAAGCCACATTCATATATTTTATATATTAAAAGTTATATTTTCTTTTTTAGAATTTAGAATATCATATTTATACATTTTTGAGGATCACCATCTAGATATTGCTATTTTATGTGTTTTTTTCAAAAAAAAAATGCGTGCCCGTTTAAATGAAGGTCAAGTTTGATTGATTTATAATTTATATTATTTATAATTTGTTATTTAAATAAAATGCAGTTCGTTTTGAAATAATAAATGCAATAATTTCCATGTAACAATATGCAAATTTGAGATAATACAATTGTGTAAAGTAATCTTACAGAGGATCAGAACACAATGAAACACTTATCAATTTCGAAATTAAAAATTTTAAATCGTGGGAATTTTTTTGAGGTTATACAAATCATATCAAAAAAATGATAAAATAACCATTTAGTTCGCAAATATGTAGAACAAGGCAAGTTGATCTTGGTAATATAATATATCTGGCTAAAAGAGGCTGTTAAGTCTCCTAATAAGTAGGGGAAACAAAGTAGTGGACACGTGAAAAAGATTTAGATAGTTATATAATAAAGAGGGCTTACTTCCGATCTCCATAAAGCAAAAACCAACCTACTCATTAGCTAAATCTTTAATTGAGAATCTGAGAAAATTTTAAACGTTAGACAGCTTAGATTTTTTTGAAATAATGGCGCGGCTCTCATTATATCATCAAACTAAAAGCTTAACAGTTTTGAAAATGATTGAAGATGCCAAATCTTCTGTATCTTTTATAATTTTAGCCTCCATAAATGATGCTATAAAAAGGCTACAAATTTGAATTAAAATATTTATTTTTATAAAAAATATATTTAAAAAAATCATAAAAATGTTTTAAAAGTAATAAAAAACAAACCTTATTATAAGTTACACAAGCAAATATATTGGTTTCACAATCCTCCGTTATATTTTTATAATGGGAGATATGTTATATAACTTAACCTTATTTGTAACTATCTGCACACAACTGCATACATTAATCTATTTTTTGCTGAGAGATATTTATTGATGCCCAATGAAAAAGAATTGTTGAGTAAACTCGAATATTTGTTTACTTGCACCAAAGTTGAAAGTTAATGCGAGATTTATTAGTTTAAAAATTATATAATATTCGTTTAATTCATTTAAATTCTATTTGGGAAACTATATTTTTAATATGCCTGATTTTATATGTATACAATAAGTCTTATACTTTTATAGTTCAATAATTTATATTTTATACCATACGCAATTGCGATAAGTATGTTTTTATATTTTCAAGTAACATGATTTTATATGTGCAATTCTTAAATTAAAATATTGGATTATCATTTCATATAAGTCTTTTTTTAATGAAAATGTGTTAACTTTAACATTGTACCCATCGTTTTAGACATTTTTATACAAAAATATAAGAAATAATAAAAATATGTAGCCCTCAAATGAAGGTATGTGTGCTAGGCCCTCATAAAAATGAGGCCGCTGTGGCAACATCGCCAGTCCCCTGCCCATATTGTATATTATTTTCATTTATAATTGTATTTGAGGATTTGATGAGATTTATTTGAGTTCCAAAAATATTCTTTTATTATTATCTAAGGGTGATCAGGATAAAACAGTTGATTTCGCATCTCTATCATAAAAATCAACAAAACAAGATTGAAAAATTTTAACATTTATTTAGATTTTTTAATTATGAACTAACCAATACAAACGTAGAATATTAAGATATGATCAAAATTTGCACTTATTAAGTGTGCCCATTATTGCATATTATACATTTTTCTTATTCATCTTTGGGGTATTTTAAAAAATATATTCTCCATCTAATACACAAAAGTTTTATAAATATTACTTTTCAATAATTTTTTATATGAGAGACGTTAATATTTTAAAATTCTTCTTTACAGATTTAATCAGATACATTTTAATTGTTTTTGTCCGCTTTATTCCAAGATGATATTTATTAAATTAATCGTTTTTATATTACTTCTAAGTAAGCTATAAACTTACAAGAATTTTAATTTTATATCTAACTACGAAGTTTTAAATCATTAGAATAAATATATTTTGCTAAAAGCAATAAAGGTGATCTTTATAATTTACTGGTAGAAAAACGGGATTTTGGTTAAATATATCAAACTAAGAATTTGCTAAAAGATGGACATAGGTTACATGTCCACAATAAATTTTAGGTCTTTATGCTTAAGGACTAAAATTAATTTAGGTTAAAATTGTTATCCTATCAATCGCTTTATGCCGGTCTCCCCTAATATTCGAAATCTAAGAAAGTTTAAAATTCTAAATGAGGAACAAGATATCTTGCTGGGAGACATAGTATGTTAGTGGCTGATGGACTAAATTACCTACCCTGATTAGTGCTTCTGCGGCACAGATAAATTTAATTTGAAAAGGCTAAAAATAATATTTTCTATGAGCCAATCTTTCAGCACCACTAAGAAAAAATTGGCCCAAATAAAAAAAACTAGTAGCACAACTTATTCCAACAGTCACAAATATCCAGAGTTGTTAAAGGATCTGAGTATCTAGATCCTGTATCTAGGTATAAAAATATCGTATCTGTATCTATATAGATTTGATTAAAATATCTGTATTTATGATATTAATTTAGACGATGTATCTGTATCTAGATCCATTTAAAAAGTATCTTTTAACAACTCTGCAAATATCAATTCAAAGATTTTAATTCTTTTACACAAACTTATTCTTATATCATTTTTATAATGGAATTAATCCCCATTTTTCTAAACAGGTATATTTTTTTTATAAAAATATAAAATAAACTAGGTTTTAGATTTTAGTTTACTTTAAAAAGATATTAAATTATTTTACCAAAAAAGGAAACAAAGTAGCGTAGATTTAATTAGTCGATTGAAAACACGCAAAGTTTTAGGTGTAGGTGAATCCGATTCTGGAGATGTTTATAGATCCAAAATTAGTCAAATACTCGGTCACAGCGAGCAATTAACAGCCCCGTTCGTGAAAACGTATTGGGCGTGGCATTACCTTTCTGCATTCTTTTATTCAATCCATGGATTATTGGTAAATATAATATTATTAATACTCTTACATTAGTTACATATATGTTGTTTGAAACTATCAAAGACATTTAAAATGTTGCTTCAGACAAACGTAGCAAATCTAACTTTTATCATTTCCTAACCATTATCGGAACTGGGCCATTATACAGAATCACGGAAAGAAGCGATTTGAACTAAACTATAATTAATTTTCTTGACCTTGTTCAACCCCTTTAAAAATATTATTATTTGTAGTAAATTAGTGCTATTTTTTGAATTAATCTGTGGAATAAATTATTACTTACAAAGCTCTATGTTGCAATTATTTACCTTTTAAACCAAATTACAAGTTCCTACATCTTAGATTTATTAATTTTAAAACACTCATTGTCAATTTACTTAAAATTTTGTTTATTTTATTTATTTAATAAACATCGCTAATTTAGATTCAAGCGAAATTAATTAGTAATTAAAGTTATGCAGACTTTTAGAAGTTATAATATCTTATAATAATTGAATTTATATCTTTGTAAATTTTTCAATATAGGCTTCTACACATTTGTGTTTGTCTCTATGTAAAAAAATTAGGATCGCTACATCCTTTTTTTTTAAACTAAATAAACTCTTGGACTAATTTATTCTATATTAAAGCGATTAGTAAAATTTAGAAATCTGTGATGAGAGGATAAATTATATTGTTTTATCAAAAACTGTTATATAAAAATAAACATCTAAAAATATATAAATATTTTAAAAGTAACTATTATAAAGATAAATAAACAATAACTAGTAAAAAAAAAGGTATAAGTTTAACAATATCTAAGTTAAACCAATAGGGTTCAATGATTTAAAGATGTAAATGCTGTTTGAGCGACAAATATCAATAGAGGTTCTTTGTCTCAGATTAAATTCTTCCTTATGATTATAGATGTAAAATTCCCGGGAAAATTGGTTCAGGGGAAATTTCCCCGGGAAAATTGGGGAAATAAGGGAAAATTGGGGAAAAAACGGGAAATAACGGAAAATTAAAAAATAACCACAAAATATACTTTAAACCTTTCAATTTTTTTTATGGAATAACTTTATTAAATTTGGGGAACTAAGGGAAAATAATATAATTAAACAATAAAGACAAAAATAAATACACTATAAACATCATTTTTTGAATAACTTTATTAATTACAAAGAGCATGTATCAGAAATTACATTTAAAATTCTTGGGATGCTAATGAAATAGCATCAATATCTTCATGGGATGAAATTGAAATATCATCATTATCACTTGATATTGATAAATCGGAATCTGAACTCTTTTGATAATATCCCGAACTTGATGTATTTGTATGATCCTTTAAATGTATGTTATGCCTTATTGATATTAATTTTTCGACTCTTTCATTCTTTATTCTATTTCTCGTTTTTGAATGAATTTTTCCAAATGCTGACCAGACTCTTTCTGACGAGGCACTTGAGGGTGGTATCGAAAGTCATCTTACTGCCACTTGACAAAGGGGTTGATTTGAACACAACCCTTTCCACCATATGAGTGGTTTGGTATGGATTGAGCTCTCCCATATGCCAGCTCCTTTATAGAAACCTTGTTTTGAACGATATTCTGCTAAATTACCCATAATTTTTTCAATATCGCAATTAATTTGGCCTGAAATAATATTTATTATATTTAAAGCTGCTGTTAATTCACGGTCTGTTAATTTCACACCATAATATCGAGGATCCAGAAGATTTGTTGCATAATGATATTCTCGGCAACAAAATTTCTTTCGTTTTTTAATATGCATCTTAACACTTTTCAAATCATTTTCATTAAAAATAAAAGTTGATAAATTGAGTTTATCTTTTATATCCCAAAATATTTCTAGTACATCAGATAATATGGCTGTATCCGATTCTACAATTATAATTTTGTTATAAATAAATTCAAAAAAAATCAGTACAGGCTCTAATTTATGCCAGTATCCTTCTTTGTTCAATATAATACACCTTCTTTGTTTGTCTATAAATAAACTTGAAATTGCAATTTCTTGCAAAACTTCCTTATTTTTCACAACACTTTGCAACATTATAACAAAACCTCCCCATCTTGTCGGACTTGGAATTTTTAAGGAAGATTTATATCCTTTCAATATTTGCCTTTCTTTAAAAGTTGATAATAAAATACCATGAAATTTTATATATTTAATTATTTGCTTGGTTTTTTTGATGATCTTTTCAATAAAAGGTATTTGGCATAAATCTTTAATAAGCAGATTCAACCCATGTGCGGCACATCCAAAGCATTCAATATAATTATATTTTGCCTTAACAAGACTCCAGGCCTTTTTCATATTCTTTGCATTATCAGTTACTAGTGAGATAAATTTTTGACAACCAATTTCTTCTATTACCTTGATCAACTCAGATGAGATATTCACCAGTGTGAGCATTGGAACCTGTGTCAATGGATTTTAAAAAAATTGGTTCTGGAGTCATTATTATAAAATTAATAATGGACTCTCCGCGAATATTTGTCCAGCCATCGTTTATGAGAGTAAAATCTTTAAAATTATTGAATTTATTATTAATATTATTTTTCACTTTAATGTATTCAAAATCTAGTAATGTTTTACTAATTGCATGTCTAGAAGGAATTTTATAGGCTGGACGCATTAATTTTAAAAAATTAATGAAATATTTATTTTCAACTAAATTAAAAGGGCAATTTGACATAAAAATAGCCAATGCCAAAGCACTGTCAAGTTGCGTTTGATTTTGTTCGGTTATAGTGTCAAAAATTTTTAATTTTAGATGTGCCAGCATTAAAATTATTGGTATTTTCTTTAAAAGTATTTAGAATGGTTTTATTTATGTTTTTTTGGGATATAATTTTATTAGGATTACTGGAATCTGGTAAACATACTACAACATCCTCTTCAGTAGAATTATTATTATCACGATCAACTTCATTAAATTGTAAACTGTTAATATACCCTTGACATTTTTTGATATGCTGAGACATCTTTGTTGAATTTGGGAAATTATATGTTAATTGACAATATTTGCATATTGATATATATCCTTTCTTGTTATTAGCTCTATCTTTAATAAAATGTTTCCAGATATTGGAAGATCGAGGCATCTATAAAATATTGCAATCATATTAATTTAAATTAAACATCAATAAATCATTATACCAGTTATATAGTATGATTAAAATATATTAAACATCATAAATCATTATATCAGTTATATAGTATGATTAACATATAATGATACTTATAGTGCGCACAAATTGAGCGTTGCAACTCTCCGTTTTAAAAGCTAATATGGTAGAGTGCAGCTTGGATTTTTTTACGGCAAACGTTAATAAAAAAGCAAACTGGTTAGATTTTTTCTATGCTTTTTTAATTTTGCGCTAAAATTTAAAAATGGATACAAATTGTAGGTATAATTTATTTTATATATTAATTGATATTATATTATTTAGAATATATTAATTGATATTTATATAATTTTAGAAATGATTATTTATATAATTTTGGAATTTATATTTATATAATTTTAGGATATACATATTATAATTTTAGAAAGGATGATAAGGTTACTTGTACCTTACTGGGAACTCAACAAATGGTCTGGAGCCAGCAGCGTCCAGACCATAAGAATTCTATATTAGTATTAGATGGTTTATTAACCAGTAGTTTTAGGTAAATATATATAAATAATGATAAATTATATTTTTAATAGCTTGGGGATGGAATTTCCATTGCATGATACAACTGTAGCATGCATAGAAGAAGTTGCAAAACTTTAAAGACTAAGATAATTGTGTAAGGTTTCAGGAGCTTCTGGCTCTAAACTCTCATACAGATGGTATGATTACATTAAATTTATGGAGCCAACAATAGAGGATAGTTTTAGTCCTAAAGAAATTATACCAAAGGAAGGCAAGTGGGTTAAAATTAAATGCATTGTTGGATATATTGACTCTTTTGGAAAGGGTGCCTTGAGAGCCAGTAAAATATATATTTATCTATAAATTTAACATTATTATAGAATGTTTCTCTATAAAATATAAATCAAACAAATATTTTTTCAAAAATGAAGTATCTCCATTGTATTATACTTTAATGGAAAATTGAATTGTGGCCTCCAAATTCAACAGATATACCTGCAAATCAAACCTCATTATTTAATGAAATTATATCTATGAAAATTGATTTGTTTTTTTTGTAACTCTATTTATTTATATATAATAAAATTATATTATTCCATATTCTAGTGTCCATTTTTGAAAAATATAATTAAAATTATTTTATTAAATAAGACATTTAATACTCTTATTATGGTGTACATTTTCATAATTAAAGATTGAAAAATGTAATTAAAATTATTTTGTAAAATATATATAAATACTATTCAAAATTTATTTAGCAATTATTAGATAGATTTAATCAAATTATATCATAAATTTGAATAGCAATATTTCTAAATCTATTTATTTTTATATCTAGTGTCTTGAAAAAAATATAAAATATATTAATATGCAAACTATTCAAAATTTATTTCACATTTTTATTAAAATATATAGATTATAAATATATAAATTAAGGTAGGATAAACAAAGAAACATTTATATACATATGTTTTGCATCCAAGGCCACAAAAATTTGAAAACCCTGATTGAATCATAAATTCTTAGGAAATCTAAATAAACAAATATAATTAAACTTCCTTATTTTACCTTAAGGTAAGAAATAAACTCTTTTTGTTTAAGAAATTATAAAAAAAACTTTAATAAAAAACATACTGCTTTCAATCTAAACAAAGATGAGTTACATTAACAAACATACTGCAAACGCTCAATTTGTGCGCACTATTATATATCAAATCTAAATATATCATTAATTATTAATAATTCTATAATATATCACATTAATATTATGTATGAGAATATAATGTGAAACATTTTACCTTTATTTTTGTACTTTTAAAATTATAGATTTGAAAAATTGCACTCAATGA